GTATGGTTTTCAAAAGAATTAGGTCTGGTCATTATAGTGCTGTATACACTACCAAGCTGCAGATATTTGTTTGGAGCTAGCCTCCAAAAGCTGGGCATACACTGCGATTTTTGGCCCATTTTGAGGCGATTTTTCAGTTGTGCAACCGTTTTGGGGATCGGCCCGTGTCTTGCCTTAATTGTGTGTGCATCATGTAGTATACATGGGGTAACGAGCAGTTAACACCTCACGACCAGCTCCCAATCATCAATTGTATGGAAAAATGTAAAAATTAGTACAGGTGTGAGCGTCAATGCAGTTAAAGAACGCGAGGAGGAACATCAATCCGCGCAGTTTTGGATTGAGGGTCTTATGACACAAAATACAAAGTTACAGGACGAAAATGAATTAATGGATAAAAATGTGAAAGCGTTAACAGACGAGAAAGATCAAATGGGCAAAGTAATAGACGACCAAAAGGCCCAGAATATGGAGATGAACCGCAAATGTCAGAGAAATATTAGGGCTCTGGCCTTGGAAAAGAAAATGAAGGCTATGGTCGAAGATGAAGTTGATTCTTTGAAAAACAAAAATGAAGACCTAAAAATGGACCTAAGCACAGAGAAGGAAAAACACAGAAAGACAGCAGTGGACAGATATAAAGTAATAACGGAACACAATCAGGCACTGGCTGAAAAGGAGGCGCTCGAAGAGAAACTGCGCTCCACAGTAAAGCAACGGGACAAATTTATAACCAAAGTGAATTGGCTGGAGAAGAAAGAGCGCTACTTCCAAGAGGACTTGTACCAGTGCGTTTTGTCCTTTCAAAAGGCATTTCCACATGCAGTTCACTTCAGAGAAAAAGAAAAGGTGGAATTTAGGGATATGTTCCTCAACTTGAAAAAGAAATACGTAGACTGTGTGGAAGGCATCCCCTTTGTTGGAACAACGAAGGAGTTTCTTGAAAAACAGCTAAACTGTCTACGTACCAGATGCAAGGATCAAGATGCAGCTTTACTAGATAAAACACGGGAGCTGGAATCATTTGAAAGGAAGTACAATGATATGGTAAAGTCTTCCGAATACGCTTTATTCAAACAAAGACAGGAGCTCATTGGACCAGTGAACCAGATTATCCAAAAGGCTGGCAATGAAGAAAAAGAGAGAGGTCATCTAAAATCTAGAGTGAAAGGCCTTGAACTCGAGCTTAAATTAGAAAAACAGAAAGGACAAAAGCTCGCATCATTGGTCCATAGAGGCATGATGGGGAGATGTTATGAGGAGACTCCGACTCCGTCTCAGATTGATCCTCGTCCACTTCCAGGGAAATCTACATTTATTCAGGTACGTCCAAAACACTCTGGCAGAAGTGCAGGTATGGCTTCCCCAGTGTATCTCCCTGTAGAGTCTCCATCAGCACCACCTTTCCTCAATTCTGATGATAGATTATCACCAGTTGATTGTTAAAAATTAACTGCTAAAAATTCAAACGGGTATTGAAGCATTTAATAATTTCATCAAAAATAATCTAACAGGCCAGGGGTGGCCAACTCCAGGCCTCGAGAGCCAGTGTCCTGCAGGCTTTAGATAACATCCTGGATCAACACACCTGAATCAAATGATCAGTTCATTACCAGGGGTCTGGTAATGAACTGGTCATTTAGTCATGTAAATCAGCTGTGTTGGATCTAGGACGCATCTAAAACCTGCAGGACAGCGGCTCTCAAGGCCTGGAGTTGGCCACCCCTGTAATAGGCCATTAGAAGTATACTTCATCTTGTCTCCCTATTCATGGGTGGGCAATCTCAGTCCACGAGGGCCGGTGTCCCTGCAGATTTTAGATCTCACCTTGGGTCAACACACCTGAATCACATGATTAGTTTGTTACCAGGCCTCTGGGGAACTTCAGGACATGTTGAGGAGCTAATTTAGCCATTTAAATCAGCTGTGTTGGTTCGAGGACACATCTAAAACCTGCAGGGACACCGGCCCTCGTGGACTGAGATTGCCCACCCCCCAACCGGTCGCAGCAGATGGCCGCCCCTTCTTGAGCCTGGTTCTGCTGGAGGTTTCTTCCTAAAGGGAGTTTTTCCTCCCCACTGTCGCCCAGTGCTTGCTCAAAGGGGATCATTGGATTGTTGGGGTTTCCTGGCTTTTACTGTAGTGTTTTCACCTTACAGTATAAAGCAGCTTGAGGAGACTGTTGTTTTGCCATGATGCAATATAGTATTAAATATTACTGAATTTTAAATACATCTATTATAGCATCAAAGTAAAACAAAACAAAAAAAAGTATACTTCAATGAAATTAATCAAAATGTCTAATCTGGCAAAATAAGAAAAGAAAAAAGGTTTCACCTTTAAATAAAAATCCAAATCACAAACACATTCTGATTTTTGTTGTGTGTTGTTTTTTTTTTTTTTTTCCTTTTGTGTTGTCAAGTATAAAATTTTTGCACTCTGTCATGGTCTCGGTGTCTGCCCGGCCGGCTCCGCAAGGCTACATATGTTTATCGTGTTGCTGCTTTCTTCCACTCGTCATTCGCACCTGTCTGCAATTACGCTGCAAAGTGTCCTGTCTGTATGGAGACTGAAGCTGTGTCCCAATTCAGGGTCTGCACGCTTGAAGTACGCATTTTAAGTGTGATTACGTCACCTCCACGCGACGACGGCTGTCCCAATTCGAAGTTGTTGTTTTTTTTTGTTTGTTTGTTTTTTAACTTTATTTATCACATTTTAGACATACAATCAAGTAAAACAGGATCACATAAAAGATGACATTGTGGTAGTACAATGAGGAACAGAGAGAGTGACAAAGACGGTGAGACAAAAGTGAGAACAAAAAATAAAATAAATTAAGGGGAACATAAATAAACAACCGGACATAGTGGTGGTAGACAAACAGAAGAAGACGGCCGTAGTGATCGATGTAGCGGTTCCGAATGACAGCAATATCAGGAAGAAGGA